TCCCTGACGCCCCCAACCCCCGCCGCGCCCCCTTTCCGAATACTGCTGACCTGGCAAACTGCCCGACGTTGTCGCTGCGTTCGGCCGCTTCTTGATCAAACTCTACCGATCTAGTGCCTGTTCAGCCTGACCTTTACACCCGTTAGCCGCGTCTATGCGCACATTCCGCCTTTTTTTATGTGCCTCTCATTTGCGGGGGAATAACAAGGCGTGATTTGGTTGCTGTCATTTGTAGCCACTTCAGGTTGACAGAGCTGTTCGTTCTGGTGGGGTAGCGTCCGAAAGTTTTACTGCCCCCCCCCCCCCTTCCTTCCCACCGTTTTGCCCTGCTACTGTGTAGGCTGGGGGCTCTCTGGCTGTTGTCGGACCAAGACTTGGCGTGGCGCGGTGCTGCGCTAAGGGCCGACCGGGGACTCGATGCAGCGCATGTCGCTCGTTCGGGTCCCTGCGGCCGTATTCACGCTCTGTGCTCGATTGCGGCAATGCGTTCCGCGGACGTGAGCACTGCTTCAATCATCGCGCAACATCACGCATGGCCCCAGCGCGGGGGCTTGGACACACTGCTCCTGGCACTGTGGAAAATACACTCGTAAATTTACAACATATTTTGTATTTTTGATAAAATGAATGTATTAGAAATTTTACAACAGACCATTCTTGCTCGTCAATGAATTCCAAGTCGATACAGAGTGCTTCTAATTTTACAATTTCGAATTGTAAGTTTGCAGTTTACAAATACTTAAAATGGAAAATTTTCCTGTAAACTCTTACAAGTTTCCCTCACAGTGGGAAAATAAAAGTGAGCGTTGAAACGATTCTCTTATGGGCAACTCGCGATTGTTTAGGAGGCCCGTCAAAAAAAATGTGCCCGCCCTTAGAACGACAAACTAAAATGGATCTTCTGCTACCGACTTTTAAAACTCACAAAAGAAGATTGCATTTCTGCTCAGGTGACTATGGCGGCAACGTTTTTGCCCTCCATAGTTGCGTCCCCCGCAATGAGTACGAATGGACGGGGGGACTGGCCGGGCTGTAGCTCATGGCGGACGGGTAGACACAAACTACCCCCGCGTTCTACTCGTCCGCCCCGCCACGCCCCGCCATGCCCCGCCACGCCACGACTGTGGAACAGTGTGACATTTCACAGCGGGGATATGGCACCATGTGCAGCAGTGTCCGGTGCTCCGTGCCCCCCGCCATCAGTCGTGCAGTGGGCGTGGCCGCCGGGCAGCCAGTTTACTACTGGGCGCTGCAAATGGAAAGTGTTATCATAAATCGTTTTTTTGCTTCTTTTTCTTTTCCCTCTTTTCTTTTTAGTAAGGTGAAACGATAACCTTAAGGAGTTTGTGTGCAGTGGCGGGGAGTTTACTTACGCTTTACTGGAAGCGGCCCTACCCGGCCGACAGGGCCCTCCTTGTCTCGTGACTTAGCGCAGCTACCGCGCCGAGCCCCGCCCGCTCT